AGTTCAGACTTTGCGTCGAAGCGAAAAATTCCACGACAAAATGTGAAACGCAGGCATTGCAATGGAACTTAAAGGCACCACTCAGGACTATGTCAGTGGTGTCAGCGTTATGTCAAAAGCCTTAGTGCGGGTAAGTTATACGAATCACACAAGCAAACGAGCCGTAGCTTCCTCAAAGAAATTGCCAGGCAAAGGCACTAGGGCGTTAGGTTTCACACGGGGTTCCACCCAACAGCAAGGGGCTCCGCCCACAAATAGACGTCACACGCTTCCATGCTCTCTCGTCACGGATTACTATCCCCTCTTCGTGGCGCTCAGTATCTCAGATCTCGCTTTCCGTCTTCCTAAAACCCCTCACAGCCTGAAGGAGGGAAGACTCCATTTCCAAGGTTTTCAAGGTTTTTAGGCTTCTCCTTTTTCCTTCACTATCGCCCCATCTCGCACCTTCACTTTCATTTCCGAGCAAAATAACAGGGTCTATTCCAGTTAAGGGGGGGGCATCATGATGCAGTTTCTCGGTGAACTCGAACATTCCAGCTTTTCACGCATGTCAAGTGACTGCCCTCACCCCCACCCCTAGACTGGCTACACTCCCCCTGGCTCGGAGTTACCCTAGCTTTCTGGAAAAACTGCATCATGATGCCCCCCCCCCTCCCTAACTGGAATAGACCCAAATAACAATATCAACTCAATCCTGGAGAGTGCCCTCAAGATAAGTCGGGTAGAGGAAGAAAGATGAAAAGCGAGTGGAGCCATCTGTTGATGAACCAGTCGAAACGAGGGTAATCTTCCTAAGCTTTTCGCGGATTCTCAGAATCGGCACAAGGGCACAGGGATCGTGCTCTCAGCATCTTCAACGACACGACCATGTTGTAGGCTTTTATCTTACTTCAAACAGTAAGCGACTTACCCAATACCGGGTAACATTTGTACAGCAATAAGTGCTCCGATTTTTTCCATTGAAGGTTTTTCAAACGTACCAGGTAATACTCTCCATTCGGCAAAGGGCGATTGCATGACGAACAAGCGAAACAGCGAGGATGCCAGTGACGGTCGAGAGCCAGTAGGCACGTATCCACCAGTGTCTCCATGCAACCTACATGTCTACTCTT